AATAAACAACATGACAGTCGGATAGTATCTGTCATACAACACGACACAGTCACATTGTACATGTCATACAACACGACACACATATAGTGTCTGTCATCAAACGAGATACAACACGACACAGTCAGTTAGTACCTGTCATACAACACGACACAGTCAGATAGTACCTGTCATACAACACGACACAGTCAGTTAGTACCTGTCATACAACACGACACAGTCACCTGTCATAGTAATTGTCATACAACACGACACAGTCAGTTAGTACCTGTCATACAACACTACACAGTCAGATAGTACCTGTCATACAACACGACACAGTCAGATAGTACCTGTCATACAACACGACACAGTCAGATAGTACCTGTCATACAACACGACACAGTCAGATAGTACCTGTCATACAACACGACACAGTCATATAGTATCTGTCATAGTACAGGAGACAGTCAGATGGTACCTGTCATAGCACACGACACAGTCAGATAGTACCTGTCATACAACATGGCAGTCAGATAGTACCTGTCATACAACACTACACAGTCAGATAGTACCTGTCATACAACACGACAAAGTCAGATAGTACCTGTCATACAACACGACACAGTCAGATGGTACCTGTCATAGCACACGACAGTCAGATAGTACCTGTCATACAACATGACAGTTGGATAGTACCTGTCATACAACAGGACGCAGTCAGATAGTACCTGTCATACAACACGACACAGTCAGTTAGTACCTGTCATACAACACGACACAGTCAGATAGTAATTGTCATACAACACGACACAGTCAGTTAGTACCTGTCATACAACACTACACAGTCAGATAGTACCTGTCATACAACACGACACAGTCAGATAGTACCTGTCATACAACACGACACAGTCAGATAGTACCTGTCATACAACATGGCAGTCAGATAGTACCTGTCATACAACACGACACAGTCAGATAGTACCTGTCATACAACACGACACAGTCAGATAGTACCTGTTATACAACACGACACAGTCAGATAGTACCTGTCATACAACACGACAGTCAGATAGTACCTGTAATAAACAACATGACAGTCAGATAATACCTGTAATAAACAACATGACAGTCGGATAGTATCTGTCATAGCACACGACACAGTCAGATAGTACCTGTCACACAACAGGACGCAGTCAGATAGTACCTGTCATACAAAACGACACAGTCAGATAGTACCTGTCATACAACACGACACAGTCATATAGTATCTATCATAGCACACGACACAGTCAGGTTGTATCTGTCATACAACACGACACAGTCAGATAGTACCTGTCATACAACACGACACAGTCATATAGTATCTATCATAGCACACGACACAGTCAGGTTGTATCTGTCATACAACACGACACAGTCAGATAGTACCTGTCATACAACACGACACAGTCAGGTACCAGTAATACTACTCCACGCAAACAAGTTATGCCAGTCCACACATCAGTTGGAGGCTATTATTGAAATGAACACGAACACGCTAATTGTGTGAGACATGTAATTTTAGCAGACTCGGTAAACACCTGTACCCACCTGGTATTTATTAATTATTTACAAATCATACGTCATCTTCATGTCAGTTTCCAGCTGATATTGTAGATTAAAAATCCAGTCATTGTTTGAAATCGATAGAAATTCTCTCTCTCGAGTAAAGCTTTCACATCTAGGAATGGAAGAATAAATTAGGTGAATTATATTCGTTTTAATTTGGTTTTGATACAATGTTTTCAAAAAATTCTAAATTGTGGGAAATATTATAAAAATGGAAATAGCAAAGTGGTAACTAAGATACATATGAAAGCAATGAAATGATCGATGAAAACTGCCGATAAGTCTAGTTTCATTCATTGTGTTATTTGAGAGTACAAATTTAATAACTCGCGAAATAAGGAAATTGACTTTGAAGTGTGCATCACTGTACAAATGAAAAAAAGCAAAGAGCAAAAACGAATCGGAGTCTGAACGAAATTACTATCAAAACGTATGTGGGATGTCAGCCAACTTGGCATTGAATCTATCACTGTGACGCCGTTAGTTCCAGCATGACAACAGATAGTATGTATGTGAGGATTCCTGTCTTGATGGGGTGGTACTATACCTAATAGATACCAGGTCTGGTGTGGTGGGAGGTATGTATCTAATAGATACCAGGTCTGGTGTGGTGGGAGGTATGTATCTAATAGATACCAGGTCTGGTGTGGTGGGAGGTATGTATCTAATAGATACCAGGTCTGGTGTGGTGGACTGGTATGTATCTAATAGATACCAGGTCTGGTGTGGTGGGAGGGGGGTATATAATAGATACCAGGTCTGGTGTGGTGGGATGGTATGTATCTAGAGATACCAGGACTGGTGTGGTGGGATGGTAGGTATCTAATAGATACCATGTCTGGTGTGGTGGGATGGTATGTATCTAATAGATACGCAGTGTGTTAGGATGGAATGTGTCTAATAGATACTTGGCCCCGTATTCATGAAACCGTTCTCATGCTCAAGCATGAATTTGGTGCTCAAGGTTTATGACTTGTTGAAGTTAATCTTTTTTAAAAATGCTGATTTTGCCAAGTATTTTTAAACAAATTTTAAGGACCTCACGTCGGTTATAATCAATGTTTTTCATTAACATTTGTATTATATATATAATTTAGGAGAATTATAAAAAAAAAAAGTTTGCTTGAGCGCAAAATCTGTGCTTCAACATAATAATGGCTTAATGAAAACGGGGCCTGCTGTCGTGGGATGGTACGTATCTGATACCTGATGACGTGGGATGGTACATATCTGATACGTGATGTCGTGGGATGGTACGTATCTGATACCTGATGTCGTGGGATGTTACGTATCTGATACATGATGTCGTGGGATGGTACGTATCTGATACCTGATGTCGTGGGATGGTATGTATCTGATACCTGATGACGTGGGATGGTACATATCTGATACGTGATGTCGTGGGATGGTACGTATCTGATACCTGATGTCGTGGGATGGTACGTATCTGATACCTGATGACGTGGGATGGTACATATCTGATACGTGATGTCGTGGGATGGTACGTATCTGATACCTGATGTCGTGGGATGGTACGTATCTGATACATGATGTCGTGGGATGGTACGTATCTGATACCTGATGTCGTGGGATGGTATGTATCTGATACCTGATGTCGTGGGATGGTACGTATCTGATACATGATGTCGTGGGATGGTACGTATCTGATACCTGATGTCGTGGGATGTTACGTATCTGATACCTGATGTCGTGGGATGGTACGTATCTGATACCTGATGTCGTGGGATGGTACGTATCTGATACCTGATGTCGTGGGATGGTACATATCTGATACCTGATGTCGTGGGATGGTACGTATCTGATACCTGATGTCGTGGGATGTTACGTATCTGATACATGATGTCGTGGGATGGTACGTATCTGATACCTGATGTCGTGGGATGGTATGTATCTGATACCTGATGTCGTGGGATGGTACGTATCTGATACATGATGTCGTGGGATGGTACATATCTGATACCTGATGTCGTAAGATGGTACATATCTGATACCTGATGTCGTGGGATGATACGTATCTGATACCTGATGTCGTGGGATGGCACATATCTGATACCTGATGTCGTGGGATGTTACATATCTGATACATGATGTCGTGGGATGGTACGTATCTGATACCTGATGTCGTGGGATGGTACGTATCTGATACCTGATGTCGTGGGATTGTATATATCTGATACCTGATGTCGTGGGATGATACGTATCTGATACCTGATGTCGTGGGATGTTACGTATCTGATACCTGATGTCGTGGGATGGTACGTATCTGATACCTGATGTCGTGGGATGATACGTATCTGATACCTGATGTCGTGGGATGTTACGTATCTGATACCTGATGTCGTGGGATGTTACGTATCTGATACCTGATGTCGTGGGATGTTACGTATCTGATACCTGATGTCGTGGGATGTTACGTATCTGATACCTGATGTCGTGGGATGATACGTATCTGATACCTGATGTCGTGGGATGGTACGTATCTGATACCTGATGTCGTGGGATTGTATATATCTGATACCTGATGTCGTGGGATGATACGTATCTGATACCTGATGTCGTGGGATGTTACGTATCTGATACCTGATGTCGTGGGATGGTACGTATCTGATACCTGATGTCGTGGGATGATACGTATCTGATACCTGATGTCGTGGGATGTTACGTATCTGATACCTGATGTCGTGGGATGTTACGTATCTGATACCTGATGTCGTGGGATGTTACGTATCTGATACCTGATGTCGTGGGATGTTACGTATCTGATACCTGATGTCGTGGGATGATACGTATCTGATACCTGATGTCGTGGGATGTTACGTATCTGATACCTGATGTCGTGGGATGTTACGTATCTGATACCTGATGTCGTGGGATGATACGTATCTGATACCTGATGTCGTGGGATGGCACATATCTGATACCTGATGTCGTGGGATGTTACATATCTGATACCTGATGTCGTGGGATGGTACATATCTGATACCTGATGTCGTGGGATGGTACATATCTGATACCTGATGTCGTGGGATTGTACGTATCTGATACCTGATGTCGTGGGATGGTACATATCTGATACCTGATGTCGTGGGATGGTACGTATCTGATACCTGATGTCGTGGGATTGTACGTATCTGATACCTGATGTCGTGGGATGGTACATATCTGATACCTGATGTCGTGAGATGGTACGTATCTGATACCTGATGTCGTGGGATTCCCGGGATTGTACGTAGCTGTTTTGTTAGATGGTCTTTACTATAACTCAAGCCATGGTGTTTACTTGATATTCAAAGGCTTTGATCCCAGCATCCCAATTTCACGATGTCGACAACAGACTGATAAAAGGTAGCCTACATCACGTGATTCTGGGAGATGTAGGATGATGAAGATCATTAGTAAGTTTTACCGGTCGCCGCCATGATATATATATATATTGTTATCTCATACAGTTTATTCTGTTCAATAATCTCATTCAGGTCGCTCTGTTCAATCATCTCATTCAGGTCGCTCTGTTCAATCATCTCATTCAGGTCGCTCTGTTCAATCATCTCATTCAGGTTTCTCTGTTCAATCATCTCATTCAGGTCGCTCTGTTCAATAATCCCATTCAGGTCGCTCTGTTCAATCATCTCATTCAGGTCGCTCTGTTCAATCATCTCATTCAGGTCGCTCTGTTCAATCATCTCATTCAGGTCGCTCTGTTCAATCATCTCATTCAGGTCGCTCTGTTCAATAATCCCATTCAGGTCGCTCTGTTCAATCATCCCATTCAGGTCGCTCTGTTCAATCATCTCATTCAGGTCGCTCTGTTCAATCATCTCATTCAGGTCGCTCTGTTCAATCATCTCATTCAGGTCGCTCTGTTCAATTATCCCATTCAGGTCGCTCTGTTCAATCATCTCATTCAGGTCGCTCTGTTCAATAATCCCATTCAGGTCGCTCTGTTCAATCATCTCATTCAGGTAGCTCTGTTCAATAATCTCATTCAGGTAGCTCTGTTCAATAATCCCATTCAGGTCGCTCTGTCCAATCATCTCATTCAGGTCGCTCTGTCCAATCATCTCATTCAGGTCGCTCTGTTCAATCATCTCATTCAGGTCGCTCTGTTCAATAATCCCATTCAGGTCGCTCTGTCCAATCATCTCATTCAGGTCGCTCTGTCCAATCATCTCATTCAGGTCGCTCTGTTCAATCATCTCATTCAGGTCGCTCTGTTCAATAATCCCATTCAGGTCGCTCTGTTCAATCATCTCATTCAGGTCGCTCTGTTCAATCATCTCATTCAGGTCGCTCTGTTCAATAATCCCATTCAGGTCGCTCTGTTCAATCATCTCATTCAGGTCGCTCTGTTCAATCATCTCATTCAGGTCGCTCTGTTCAATCATCTCATTCAGGTCGCTCTGTCCAATCATCTCATTCAGGTCGCTCTGTTCAATAATCCCATTCAGGTTTCTCTGATTATCTTTTGTCAGTCCTGATCAAATATTGGTTATGGATTATATTTGAGAAAACCTTGAATTTCTAAACTATCTCTGAACAGTTTATGAATAATTGGCAATTAACACAAAACAATTCTCCTGGTGACAAACAACAAACACAAATCAAACAGCGGTATCTTTAATGTGTAACAAATAGTAAACAATGAAAAAACGTGAAAAATACTCAACAGTATTTTCATTGAATTCTACATTTTTATGTAGGCCTATAATGAAGTAAAACGGTAGTTTAATAATAAAAAAGTGCTCATTTATTAGTTGTGTGTCTTGTCTGTATGTACAGGGTTGGGTGATTATAAATAGAATCGAGAGCAAAACGGACATGTTGTCCATGGACAAGAAACCAACGACATTGCTTTTCCAAGTAGCAGTCAATAGTTAAAATCACATTAACTCGATCCTTTCCACCATTTTGGCAAAATGACCAAGTCCGAGTCATTCGTAACTACTCGGCCAATCAGGATTCTCGAGTACTTACGAAGTAGTCCGAGTTTGTCTCCATCGTGACAATTCGGACATCTCGTACTGATTCGGACCGTAAGTGTACTGATTGTGTGTTGGAGGGAAGCGAGAACACACCAATAGCTATCATGCATTAATGGAAACAAGTTAAACCAACACTGGCCTGGTTGAGCAATATAATATTTTTCTGTCAAAATTACCAAGAAAGATTTCCAGAAAGGCTGGAGACATGTGAACAGCTATAAAGATAGTAATATCAAGCTGTAGTTGATACGACTCGAATCGGCAGGTACTTTTGGTTCCTGTCTAATAGTAAAGAGATAAAGTTCGATGATAAAAAGTGATATACAATGCACGATACATAGACTACGATATAGTGAAGGTTTCGTATTTAAAAGTATTGTATACTTGTTAGATTGTACTATAATAGTAACGTTATATATCTGATCATGTAGTGTACGAGATACAAACTAGATCACATGATCTGATCATGTTAATGTACGATATACAAACTAGATCACATGATCTGATCGTGTTAATATACGATATACAAACTAGATCACATGATCTGATCATGTTAATGTACGATAAACAAAATAGATCACATGATCTGATCATTGTAGTGTACGAGATGCAAACTAGATCACATGATCTGATCATTGTAGTGTACGAGATACAAACTAGATCACATGATCTGATCATTGTAGTGTATGAGATACAAACCTGATCACATGATCTGATAATTGTAGTGCACGAGATACAAACTAGGTCATATGATCTGGTCGTTGTAGTGTACAATATACAAATCAATATAAATCTAGATCACATGATCTAATCATTGTAGGGTACGATATACTATCTAGGTCACATGATCTGATCATTGTAGGAACGAGATACAAACTAGATCACATGATCTGAGCATTGAAGTGTACGATACAAAAATCTATATCTCATGATCTGATCTTTGTAATGCATAGTATATAATTATGTAGATCACATGATCTGATCATTTTAGTGTACGGTATATAATTATGTTGGTCACATGAACTGATCATTTCAGTGTACGGTATATAATTCTGTAGATCACATGATCTGATCATTTCAGTGTACGGTATATAATTCTGTAGATCACATGATCTGATCATTTCAGTGTACGGTATGTAATTCTGTAGATCACATGATCTGATCATTTTAGTGTACGGTATATAATTATGTTGATCACATGATCTGATCATTTCAGTGTACGGTATATAATTCTGTAGATCACATGATCTGATCATTGTATTATACGGTTTATCATTCTGTATATCACATGATTTACATATTTAACATTAGGTCCAATAATGCACATCCAATTATGAATTAGTATGGTATTTCTCTCCTATATCACTCCCAGTTCCTTTATTTATTTATTTTTTTATTATTATTATTGGCATACGTGGAATTCAAAATCATTTCAAAATTAGATGATTTATTTTGTATTTGAATTTCTGTTGTTTATATACAAGGTTAAATGCTCATTATTTTGGGAGATCCCTCATCCTTCACATTTCCTAACAACTTAGCTACATGTATTTAGAATTTGCTATGGATTTTTGTATGACTTAGCTCTAAAGATAAGCATACTTTAAGTAGATTTTAAAAATCGTCATAGTGTTAGTTTGTAAACGTTACTTTTGACAAGGGTATGAAAACTTAACGTAAGCCTATTGCTGCAAGGTAAGTTCCAGTCAGATAACACATGTTCAGAATGTAGCTAAATTGCGGATTTAAGGGTGACCTAGGATTAAATTAGGCCATGTTGCATAGTATATAATACATGTTATTTATGTCAGTTTAAGATTTCTTCATAGAGGTTAAGGATGTGACGACTGTTGGAGTTATCTCCCTTCGAGACATGTTTCCTCATACATTATACATCATATAAGATTTAGAGTTATCATTAAGTATCTCAGAAAAAGATATAACAATATCGTTTATAATTAAAACTAGTCATGAATTCATTACCATGAAGATAATTTATCAGCTCGGCTTTTACAGAAATTGCTAGTGTTTTGTAATTTTTGAACTCAGTGTTATCTTATAACGTTCACTTAAATGCTAGTCTCGTTAATATTAGTAAAAGTTATATAAAGTTAATAGGAAGCGAAATGGGGTTAAAGGTTGAAGGTTAAACTACTACATCATCATATGGCAAGTGTAGGAAATGTGTCAATCCAACAACACAGTAACAGTTTATAACAGTTAATGAACCTTCATCAAACACAGTCGTCCGTGGATCGTCCAATATAGACAGCTGAGACAGTCTGGAAATTACGAGATGGAAGGTAGGATTTCTATCACAGATAACACTGCCAAACGGACATGTGCTTTTGGCAACAAACGGCGAAGAACAGTCTATAAAATACAGTATTTTGTCCAAAAGACGCTGCAAGTTGTAAATAATAGTCACACATATCCAACAATGTTTCGTTCAAAAACTCTAGCTAGACTCAGTAAGATCGATTAAATCAATCCGTTTAAAGTGTTTTGGTAAATTTAAATTTCGCATTGATGTACTAGAATTTAAGTATTTGATAATCACCCTAATGACCAAAATAATCACCACAAATATTTGTAATGGTCACAAAAAAACTTCAATAATTATTTCTATGAATATCGGCAATGATCACCCAAATATCAGCAATGATCACAACAAATATATATAACGATCACCACAGATATATGTTATGATCACCACAGATATATGTTATGATCACCACAGATATATGTTATGATCACCACAGATATCTCTAATGATCATCACAGATATATATAACGATCACCACAAATATGTTATGATCACCACAAATATATGTTATGATCACCACAGATATATGTTATGATCACCACAAATATCTGTAATGTTCACCACAAATATCTCTATCACATTTATAAGCAATGGTAATGACTAAACTTGGCAATGATCACCATTCAAATCGACAATTATCATCTCAAATATCGGCAATAATTACCACAAATATCGGGAATAACCGTTTAAGATTAATACACTATATCAGTCATGATCACCACAAATATTGGCAAAGATCGCTACAAATATTGTGGTTAAGGTAAATTTCTTGTCTTGAAAATATATGTCTTGTTTAGCGACATCACCTGATAAATAAAAACAGGTAAATCGATTACATTGGCAGTACTGGGCATTAAATACATTACGTGATCCTGTCTAGATATTAACACACCTGTTATACACAAGTTAGCATTGTAAACAAAACAACGTAACGGGTTATATCAATATCACAATTAAATATACAAATGTATAAAGTTACCTATGTAAAAATGTCAGTATATAAAACCACAATACTTTGAGAACAATGTATATATATACTTGTTACCTACCTGTTTATGTGTTTACCTACATTGCGTGGTCTTTAGATATCGTTGATTATTTATACTAAGGGATCACAGTATCTGTGGGAGACAGTTCGTAACATCGAAACACAGATTACTTTAGATTTAAAGATGGAAGGAAAATGAGTTTGAGTAACGAGAAGAAAAAAGCCACTGCAAAATGGCGGGTTGCAAATTAGATGGCGAAAGAAGTGCAAAATATCTACGGACTAGTACCAAGCGTCAAAGTTTTAAAATTCATAAAGGAGATCATTTGAGCGCGGTATTTAGCTGCGGAAAGGACAGAAACTAAAACCATGCCACACTGAGAACTAGTTTCTCCCAGAGTACATTGTAATATCCTACAAAGTGTACAATGTGACTAAGGAACGACAACTCTGATAGAGAAGAGAAGAGGTATCATTATGTCGCAATGCATTTTGGGTATTCATCCATATATGATCACAAATATCTACATATTGCTTATCTTAAACCATTGTCCAATGTTCGATTATAACTGGAACAAGGACGTTAAGCCAAACCAATCGATAAATCAATCAAACAATTATAATGTTTGTTGTCTACTAATTTACATGTGTATCTACTTAATATATATGGGTACATCACTACTTGAGGAGTAGATTTTAAGGAGATTTTGTGCACGTGAAGATCGAAGGTCAATCTAAAGCTGTCAGGTTAATTATAAACACCAAATACTACTGAGACTCGTACTCTACCCTCAACTCAAGAATCTCCCTCAGAGTTGTCGTTCCGCAAGCTCACTAACATCAAGTTGTAAGGAATCACAACTCTGGTTATAGATTGGTTTCCCCAATAAAATTTGATTATGGAGGCCTCACAGTGCAATATAACATTTTGAAATGTTAGTGAATGAGTGACTTTAGGTTAGTATCCCTTTTCTGTATTCACGTACAAGATAGGGCAATGTATAGAGAAGGATTATAATTTCTTATTTAGGAAGACCTATTAGGTGGCGTGCACTTAATTAAAACTAGAACTTTACAAGTGCTTATTTAATGGATTCAAGATCATTATTAATTTTCTATTACAAATTGAGAGATTAGTGATATAAGTATACCCAATGGTATGTGTCTGTACAAATCGTATAATTAACATGAATTCGATGTTTGTTAAAAGAATCTATCAACTATGAAGTATGCGAGGAAGAATATAAGAAAGGATTAAAAAATAGTTTATATTACAACACCCAAAACCAATCGTTCACAGTCAGTTTTATGCACATACTCAACCTAAATCATATTCCCCTATCAACGATCCCGACGACCGCGATTGTTTCTCGTGTATTTTACCATTTCAGTATAACAGCGCTCTCCAAGCTATCATTCCGTTGTCATGTTTATTACATTCCCTTTCAATAAATAATTACTTCCGTTTGCTTTCACTCTTTCAGATAGGCATGGCATTATCTTTCCTGTTTCTCATTATTTCAGTAGTCAAACAGTTCTCGCATTCCCTCTCAGTACAGAGATTATCTCCCCTTGCCGTTACTTTTTCAGATCACCGCCATATCAGTTATCTCCCCTTGCTCTCACTTTTTCAGTCTTAGTCATCTGCGCTCACAAAGCTATCTCTATTCGTTAGCTAATCTTCCCTCTTTTCCTTTCAGTA